GAAAGAAAGAAAGAAAGAAAGAAAGAAAGAAAGAAAGAAAGAAAAGAAAGAAAAAGAAAAATTCAACCAGTGACCCATCCTAAGCTACTGCAGTTCCTGGAGCAATGAAAACTGTATCTCTTTATGTCTCCCCTCCCACCACCATCCACCTTGAAAAAGTGTGTTCAAAAAGTAAAGATCAGTTGTAAAGACCTTGCTACTTATTATGCTGAAAGGATAGCATGCTGACAGTTTTGCAATCAATCATCCCCGTCCACCTCACTAACTCTAGTCATGATTGCATATGGTTGGAGAGGAAGAAAGGGGGAAAAAAATCTAGGCTGCAGGGCAAGTTGCTGGAGGGAGGCTGAGGAGAGAGGATGAAAGGAAAAACATACGGAGCAATAAAAACTAGCCTGCTTCTGAAAAAACAGAAAACAGAAAAAGAAATTGGAAACAAACCATACTCCATGGAGGAGGAGTCAATGAGTGGGGAACAGCCTGGAATTTTGCACGCTTACTTATCTCTTGTAGTAAAAAGGAAGGCAAACGGGGCTTTCCTGAGCTTCTGTTCCTGGTGGAAAACTTCTAAGGATTTTAAAATTCACAACAATTTCAACCAATTCCAACTGCATCTTAAAAGTAGATCAGCAGCTGACTTTGGTCATTTTGGGGGGAAAAATCTGACTGGTTTCTATGAGAGGGATCTATATAACTGGCAAACCACCGTTCCCCTTTAAGGACCATGAACATTCAGACTATAAACAACAGCTGAAGGTGGAAGGAGACATTCTCCCAGTAAGAAAGCAAGCCACTCACAAGCTCTGTGGGGCTTCAGTCTCACAAAAGGAAAGGTTTATTTGTTCATTGATTTACTGTTTGCATGTTTGGGATACAGCTCAGCTGCTGACTGCAGACAACAGCATGAGAATATTAAGATCTGGGTTGATTTGGGAGCAGTGTAAAGACCCTGTTTCAGAAGTGCTTTAATGAGAGATTAAATTTCTCTTTCTGATACCCAAAAAATTCAGTTTCAAAACATTACGAAAGCTTATGATCTGAAGCATTTCCTGGTGCAGAAAAAAAAATCCTTTTGCCAGGCAAAGATAGGAAAGCCGCGGGGAAAGGAATCCCATGTGCAGACATATATTTTTTAAAAAATCTAAATGGCCATTTTAGCCTGTTGTTCCCCAGAAGCAATGAAATACAACCCCCCAAGCCTGTTTAAAGAGGCTGTTACTGATTGGGGATGATGGCTGTTTTAATTCAGCATATTTGATCCAAGATTTCCAGAATTTGAGAGAAACAAGATCTAAAAGTTGGATAAATGCAGGTGTCCTCTAGGCTTGGTTGCATCCTAAGAAGCAAAAGATGCAATGGTTGAAACTGTTTAGAGCAGATTTTTTCTCAATCTTAGCAAGATGTGTGGATTCAGAAAGCTGGCTGAGGAATTCTGGGAGTTGAAGTCCACACATTTTAGAATTGCCAGTTGAGAAATGCTGCCTTAAAAAAAAAGATACCTATGAAGTATGAAAGGATGAACAGGATAGATCTTTCTCCTTATCTATAATACTAGAACTAGAGGTTACTAGCAAAATAATTAACATTGATCAGAGGACTACCGATGTTATAAACCTTGGGAATATGCTGCCAGAAAATGTGATCTTAGCGACTAGTTTGTAAGGCTTTGAAAGGATGCTAGACTAATTCTTAGATCAATGGCCTTGGCCTTGATGCTGCTTTCAGACATGGAACAATCTGTCTCCACATGCTACATGCCCAGGAGCAGTAGTGGGAGAGAAGGCCTACTTCGACTTCTCATCCATGGGTTTCCTAGATGCATCTGGTGGATCAAATGAGACTTGAATGCTGATCGGCCTAAGCATGATCCAGCAGGAATATTTTCATATTTTCATGACTGAATGCAGGGTTTATACCCAGGAACCAGAGGGAGAAATTCTTTTTTCCAATACTACTTTAAGGAAAGCAATCTTAATCTTTGCTAAAATTGCACTGGTACAAAGGATTTCAGATACCGAGATAGAGAGTCATTTTCAGATACTTCATTCTGCTCTTGCCTTTGAGAAGAAGATTCACCAGAGGTCCAAAACGCTGCCAAACCTGCTTGATCAGAAGTGAAAAAGGTCTTCCAGCCAGATCAACAGTTCTTGCTTCAATCATTTACCCTAAGGTATTTGGGTGGCTGCTCTGTCTTACTCATGGGAAGATTGTTAGAGTGTTTTACTTCTATTGGACTTAAAGATATACTTCCACCACTAATACAACTGATCCGTTTGCAAATACCTCACCAATAGAATTCTACCCCTTTTTCTAAATAAGGACCATTCTGTTCAATGAGACTTATTCTTAATTGTTCTCCTGAGCTGCATTCCAAACATAGTTACAAGGACAGTTTATTACTCTCCAAAATATTTATAGATATCAACTCCCATCATTTTTGACCACCAGCTGTAGCAACTGTAGCTGATGGGTATAATCTAACTGTGGAGTGCTATAGGTTTCCTCATGCTTGATTTAATGTGTAACTTTCACTGAGTTCAGCTGAATGGATCCTTGACAAAACAGCCAGATCTTTAGATCATGTTATCAGATTCCAACTATTTACCCCTACAACTGCAGCTTCTAACTAAAGCGTTTGTTTTGTTTTTGTTTTTGAAAAAGGTGCTTTTTCAATAAATAGAAACATGCTTTTGCCTGAAATGTTAGATATTAATCTTGTTAGGAGACTGGAATTAGCTTGCCAGCTGAGAATTACAGCTTTTCTTCACAAACACCAATTGGAACGCCATCTCATTAACTCAGTGATGGAGGGTTCCTTCCCAGCTGGGTTTCATGAATTCCCAACTTTGACAACTTTTTAAAACAATGATTCAGCTATTGCTTAATCAGCAAAATACAGTATCTTTTTCTGTACAGTACAAAAAACACAGGATATGTGTGTGTGTGTTGGAACAGATGGGGATTTGGGAGGAGTCATGATTTAAAAACCAAACCAAAGGTGGAATTTGATTCTGTAAACATTACTCCAATGCAACAATAGACCTAGAGGCTTTCCAAGCAGTAAAAGCTTTTCCTGAGATTATTTTTTAAAAACACAAAAAGCTTCAGATGCTTGAAATCCTAGTTGTTTTGCCCTTTTTCATTGACAGTTGTTGCTAAACTCCTGATGTAAAGAAAGGAATGGGGAAATTAAAAGGAATAATGATTACTAGATTCTTTTGACTTCATCTTCCGGCTGATAACTGTCTGTTTCTTCAGAAAGAAAAAAAACACTAACAACAATACTTTTATAAGGATTTACCAAACTGTGACCATTTTGAGTAGGTTTTGAATGCTGAAGCTTTTGTCACAGGCTTAAAAGCTTTGGAGAACTTAATATATTCATGCCTATAACATGTAACAGTCACACTTGGGTGGCTGTTAACTAAACTATTTCGTTATTGTAATTTTGAGAGAAGTTTTTTAGCTTTTCCATTTCTCCTTATCCCAAGTGGATGTCTAATCAATATTGGTCATAACATCATGGAGTTAGAAGAGGCCAATTAAAACCCCCAAATTCAACCACTTGCTCACTGCAGGTTTTCAAATTAAATGCTCCCCAAATGATGGTTATCTCGCCCCATCATTTTTGCATTTAAAACTGCTTTATGATTGGAAGGATTTGCTATATGACCACGAGGATGAACAGTCAAGGTTTTCAGTATAATCATAGGTCTTCAGCAAATAATGAAGGATCCGAGATATTTCTTCTATAGCGTTCCAGTGTCATCAAAATCAATGGGATTCGTGATGGGTTTAAAACATCAGCCTTCTGTCTTCCTGAGGTTGAACAAGCAGAGGAAAGAGAAGATATTTTGCCCAACAAATTTACTTATTGAAAAGGGCACTTTTTCTCAAAAGGCAAAGCGACAGAATTGATGGATGCTACAGAATACAATATCCAGTTGCTCAGCAAAACACACAGCACTTTCATTAGTCATGCTAACAACAACAGGAATGTATCATTGGGAACTATTATGGGGTGCAGAAGGAAATCCTTGATGAAACAGAACATACATTCTAGGAAACAGAAGTTAGTCTTTCTACTTAACAGATATACATAATGTAAAATTGGATCTAAGCATATCTGGTAAAAATGGCTTGACAATGAAGGTCATTTCCATGCTAGCAATTCATAGCATCTTCTAGAGTCACCCAACCATTGCTATGTCAAAAGGACAGTAGCTGGGCAAGCTTTATATTTCTTCAACCATAGCTGGTGGGTGCCCTGGAGACGCTAGAATTCACTAGGTGATGTTTTCGGTCATCTCATCACTTTGTTTCTTTTTAACCTGAAAACTATGATGCTGGAATCAAAACAGGGTGGTAAAATGTCCACTGTCTTATACATGGAGAAATAAATGATGTGCCTAAATGTGCCCTGCTTTCTTTATTTTGTTAAAGACAGAAATGTAGAGAATAACTCTACATGTGAGCTGGAATTTGATTTTTTTTCCAGCTTGAATCTGGAATGTGAATCTGGAATGTGAATCTGGAATCTGAATCTGGAATCTGGAATGTGGAATGTGAAGTGAACGTTGGACAGATAGAGAGCCAACTCTACTGCTTATGATCATCAGCCTTGATGAGATGGATCAAGACTCTTGGGCATTGTGGTGAAAACCAATCCATTCAATTTCTCCTAGAAACACAACTTCTTTCATGAAACCCTGTCAGATAGGGGGATACCCATTAGATCACAGCTGTTCTGGATTTGTCAATTTGATCCTTACGATAATGACCTGGAATCTTGTTCTACTTTGATCGTTTGCTAGCAAATTAGACTAGGTACCCAAGATTTAGCAATTTACCACAGCAGAAGCAGAAAGAGCTACCCTCTCACCATTCTGTAACTATAACCTGTTGGCTGGCCAAAAGGACCAGTGTTTACTTGTGGGGTTTGTGTGTGTGAGAGAAAAGGGGAACCCTAATCTGTGTTAGTTGACCTTCAGTATGTACTCTCCAGGAAATGAAAATGCACCCCGTATTTTGGAGTGCGAACATCAGGATATCAAAAACAGTGGATAATGTGGAGTCCCCCTGAGAGATGATGGATGCCCAGCCCAGGAATGGTGACGGCTTGGGGTCTCGTTCAACTACTATAGTTCCAGTCGGAAGGAAGGCCTTGGTGAGAAGAGGCCTCACTTGACTCGGATTTCAGCATATTCAGCCAACTCCTCGGTCAGGGTATAGCTGTCCTTGGTGGACAATTTGGTGAAGTCTATGTTGGCATAATCAATCCCCAGGTCCTCACGCTTGTTCAACAGCCGTTTGTCACAGCGCCCATACTGGAGGAGGAGGTGAGCAGACAAACAAGAGCAGGTTATTGCTTGCGCCAACTCACTCTCTGAGTTATATCATTTGGTTCATTCCCGTAGAATCAAAGTAGGATTCCAGATATTGCTGAGGACACACTCAGTAGTCCTGGCCATCAGGATCAATGCTAAGGGATATTAGGAAGTGTAGTTCAGCAACATCTGAGGCGGGGAGACAAGTTGAACTGCAAGACATGAGGTGGTAGAAATAAGGGACAGGATGCTATGTATATAGACCACAAATGGAAAGTGTCCACTTAACATGCAAACATTTAACCAAGATGCACTGACAGACGCAACATAATTTTCACCAGGAAGGTTACGACGACAGACACCACAGAAACTTGACAGAAACTATCTTCCTGGGTTTTTCAAAAATATCTGAGTATTTCAGATGTTCAGACGCAAGGCACAATATTTGACACAAACATATTGTCACACAAACACATTCAGAAGCTGCTTTTGGAACTGTGTGCAGACATGACAACTGTTAATGCAAGACAGGCCATGTCAAAAAGGGTGATTTTTTTTTTCAAGTTGGAAATATGCTTAGCCAAGATAGAATTTGTTTTCAAATAACAGACGTGGGAAATGCATGCAAAATAAAAAATAAAAAAAAATAAAAAATCAAATTGAAGTGCTATTCGCTGCGAAGATTCTATTTGTGAAGCAGAGCAATACGACAAGCAAAATAGCTAGGTTAAGCCTTTAACAGACTTAACACGTCTATTTTCCTCTGAAAAAACATCTCCCCCTCAAAAGTGAAAAAGCAGAGCAGAAAAAAATCTGGCTGTGCCTTCTTCAGAGATGTTACTACCATATGCCTGGCAGTTGTTTGAACTAAAAATAATAACGTGGACAAAAAATGTGGCCTCCCATGGCAAAAAAAAAAAAAAAGTTAGTCAGACTTTACTGTGATAAACAGACTTTACTTTTTTCTAAACACCCAAAATGAAAGTCACGGACCAGTTTCCATGAAAGTGGGTCTACTCTGCTTCAATCTTGAGAGGGCATGCCAAGAGTAAAGATGAAGGGGAAATTAAATAATAATAATAGAAGAATTGTGATGAGAAAAAAAATCAGTTTCTTTTCCACAGGTTGTGATTCTTCCTCTGAATTCTCTTATTAATTTCTCCCTAGGCTTTGTTTCTAACCAGGATTTTTAAAAAAGACCTTGTTATGTATTTCAGTATGTTCTCAGCTTCCTGAAGTTCTTTTTTTTTTAAGGTAACATCTCCTTTGCATCCACCTTGAACTCCTGGTGATTTCATGGAAGTGTCCATACTGTTTCCTTGTCACCAGGTCAGAAAGGGTTTTTCTGTGTCTTCTGAGGTGTTTTTCAACTCTCTAATCAAGCCTACAGCCCTGGAATTCCCTGGAGATGTCCCTTCCAAGTTCATAACCCAGCCCAACCTTGCTTAGCTTCTTACCCCAGACAAGACATTTAGATTCCTACCAGTGGTTGTATGCTACCAGTTTGGCATGGTTCACATGAACCGGTAGTAAAAATCACTACCAGTTGGCCAACCAGGTAGTAAAAAACAGCCTCCAATCATCTGAGAGGAGGAAAAAAAGCCTTCGACAATCAGATGAGAGAATAAAAGCCCGAGGGTCGCTCCTAGCTTTTCGTTTCTTCATCCCGCTTGTTAGGCAAGCGTGCGCGCACACACACGATCACCCACCAAACTGATAGCGACTAAGGTAGGATCCCACTACTGATTCCTACCACGAAGGGACATACAAGCCCATAAAAACATGCATGGATTCATTTGTGGGAAAGGAGGATAGGGCAATGGGATGATGACAATGTTACACATGGACAGGGAAGTCCATACTTACTTGGCCAGGTCAGTGACTTTCCAGGGAGCAGATCTCTTTAGACTATTAGAAAAGGAAGAGTAGTCACTAATGACTCCAAGGGAGAAAGGACAGCTTGGGCAAACTCAACCCTGCCATGAAATGAGTTTGGGGCACCATGAATTATAGTTAAGTCAGGGAGAGAGATTGAAACCGTGGATCTCTGTGGCATAGGTCATGGCCGTGAGACAATGATGTAGGGTAGAATGTCCACCTGAGCTTCTCATGTCTTGTCCTGTCAAGGTCATATCAGGGGTCCGCGCTTGCTTTTTCTCTGTGCTGAAATCAATAGGTCAGCAAAGCCCAAGTAAGGAAACCATTCTTAGACACGAGTAGTTATGCTACCAGGAAGCACGAAGGAGCACAGTGGCTCGAGTAGTTGGAACGCTGGGCAGGAGGTTAGCAAGCCCGCGTTCAAGACCCGAGAGCTGCTGTGGGGCAGGGTTGAGCTCCCGTCCTTTACTCCAGCTCCTGATGGGGACAAGAAAAGAGCCCAAATTGGGCATCCCCAGGACAATGGTGATGTCACCAGCTAATCCTTTCAACAGGAAGCGGTGCTTCTGAATTGAGCGCAAAAAAACCAGGAAGAAAAAGTACCCCCACTCTGACCATTTCCAAAACAAACATCCATTGGAAGGGCACTTCCCATGGATGGCACTATGGGCAATTGCCTCTACTGCCCCCCACTCCAAAAAAAGGCGTATTGAGAAATTATCCACCCTGCTCCTCTAAATAAGCTTTCCGGTTTGCCTTCTTCTAAAATACTGAGCTGACAGGAGCGTACTAGTCCTCCCCTTCCAAAAGATGGGAATGGATTCAGCCTATAAGGCAGAAGCAACTTACAGAAGTTGTGGCCAGGCAACGAAAGAGAGGCAGAGGAGAGATTGTGTGAGAGGGGTGTGTATTGCAGGGAGGGGACCCATCAACGTAGTTCTACCAAGAGCAACTTAACTACAGTTATTGGTACCTCTGATTTTTCCAGATTGCCTGGAGTCCTGTAATCTCCGCTGTAGACAACAGGAGGGTTTTCTGTTTGCCCAAAGCCAGGATTTTCATTGTTTTTTCTGGGGAAACGGAGATAATCACAATAACAATATTAACTGCCCCAATAACGTAAGACTTAGAACAACATAAAACAGGTAGTCTTCAATTTATGACTGGTTGCTTAGTGATTGTTTGAAGTTACAACATATCCTGAAAATGGGACTTACAACTCAGATTCAAAGTACTGATGTTTGTCTCCCACCCACCATGGTCACACAATCACATTTTGGGCATTTGGCCTGTGCATTTATGACAATTTGCAGTATCCTGCATCACACAATGGTGATTTGTGATGTGTTTGCTGAAAACCAGTGTTTACTTTCAGTTCCTGGCCAAAAAAAAAACCCCCTTCCAATAGCAAACGACATGTTCACTTAATGACCATGGTGTTTGTTTTACAACTGCCCCCCAAAAGGGCATAACATTGGATGCAGTCACAAGGAGACCTACTTTATGACCATCACAACTTATGCTCAAAATTGTAAGTTGTAAGTCAAGATTCTGAATTGGCTCTTCTGGAAATTAGTATGGGCTCCTCATTAAGGATAGGTATCATATATAGGTAGATATTGCATATATGTATCACTTTGATTCAGATAATACACCAAAATGTAGTTAAAAGAAGCATTAACTATGGCTTAATACAGTGTTTCTCAACATTAGCAACTTAAAAGATATGTGGACTTCAACTCCCAGAATTCCCCAGGCAGCTTCAACTCCATTCTGGGAGTTGAAGTCCACATATCTTTTAAGTTGCCAAGGTTGGGAGACACTGACTTTAATGCAAAGCTGAGCAATGATGAGTGTGTGTATACAGTGGATTACAAGCCCTCTCCCTCTTGATTTAGTGTGCCAACAAATCCCAATTGGTGATCCACTACCCTGGAAACCCCGCTGTGTGTTTGGATCTCAAAGCCATAAGAAAAACCATTTTCAGTTGGGTGTAAATCAAAGAAAGTTGGGTTTGGATTTCCCTTCTCCCCAAAACTTACTTTTTTCTGGCCTGGCTGACATAGCACACCACAGCTATGAGTATGGCAAAGGCCACAACAGCTCCCACCGGTCCAACCTTTGCCCACATCAGACTGTCTGGAAGAAAGGAAGACACGGGTCAACAGACAGGTTTAAAAATGAATGCAAAGAGAACCCATATAAAGCAAAGTCCTTCAAACTTGGCAAGTTTAAGACTTGTGGACTTCAACTCCCAGAATTCCTGAGCTAATATGACTGTAGGAGGAATTCTGGGAGTTGAAGTCCACAAGTCTTAAAGCTGTCAAGTTTGAAGACCCGTGATATAAAGAGACAAGATGGTGGCGGAACATAACCCAGGAATATGGGAACAAAGGTTGGGTCATACATGGCACCAACACAAGTTTGTTTTAATGGTGATTGTTGAGTAAACTACAGCTGGATCATGTTAAACAGATCTCACTGTTGCAAAAAATAAACAAGACATCAGTCAATGGAAATTGGACCTCCTGAACTAAAGAGAGGAGCCCCAGAAGTTGGAATTGGAAGAGGATCAAAGGCATTTAATACAGGTAGTCCTTGGTTAATGAGTAGTCAATTAACAACTATTTAAAGCTCTGGCAGAAAAGGCTACTTATAGCAATAGCACTTAAGACTTTGATACCATTTCACAGTGCTTTACAACCTTCTCTAAGCGGTTTTCCAGAGTCAGCCTATTGCCCCCAACAATCTGGGTCCTCATTTTACCCACCTCAGAAGGATGGAAGGCTGAGTCAACCCTGAGCCTGGGGAGATTCGATCTGCCAAATTGAAGGCAGACAGCAGTCAGCAGAAGTAGCCTGCAGTACTGCATTCTAACCACTGCGCCTCATTATAGCAATAGCACTTATATACCACTCCACAGTGCTTTCCAGCCCTCTCTATGTGGTTTACAGAGTCAGCCTATGCCCCCTAACAATCTGGATCCTCATTTTACCCACCTCGGAAGGATGGAAGGCTGAATCAACCTTGAGCCTGGTGGGATTTGAACTGCCAAATTGTAGGCAGCTGGCTGCAGAAGTAGCTTGCACTCTAACCACTGCGCCACAGAGGCTCCTTATGATTATGATTCATCCTTGTAACTGCACCCCACCCCTACAGTCACATGATCACATTTTAGTGCTTGGGAACAACTAGCTCGCATTTTTGTCTGGTTGCAGTGTCCTGCAGTCACATGACAGCGATCTACAACTTTTTTTTTTGCAGTTTTCCATTTCTCCTCTCTGTCCCACTCTGCTAGTTCATACTCTTTACTCAATAAGGAGTATATTACAGTATATAATCAATATAGTATAACACAAGTATTTTTGGCTTGGAATTTAGGCTGTCTGGAGTCAGAGATAACCAAGTTTGGTCTCTCATTTATATGTGACAGCCCAGCTGATATTTGAAAACTTCTGACACATAATCTTTTGATAGCTTATTTTCCAGGCTAACGTTGGTCAATTAGTTCAACTTCTTTTCAACACTTTGCCTTCTAATGTTATTAATTCATATTCTCGCCCAGGGCGAGACAGCAAGGTATGCAAAAGCTGTGGTTCTTTGTAGCAGTCATTGCCTTCTCACTTGAAGAAGGCAATTGAACAGGAAAGAGCACCACCAAGGGGGAGACCCAGCATGATCAAGGGGCTGCTGGCTTTTCAGTGGGCCAGTAGTTGATGTATCAGCCTTCTCAGACAACTAGTAAGGCTGTCCCTTGATGGCAGCCCTGGAGCGGTTATCATGGAGGGTGTTGTGTTGGCCACTGGCCCCTCCAGCAGCTGAATCAGATGAGGTGGTGTGGGAGTCAGGGCCATCATCAAGGCCACCTGAGAGCCCCAAGGGAGAAGAGGGAATGGAGCTGTCAGAGATAGAGACAGAGGTGGAGCCTAGGCCGTCCATCAGCTGTCAGATGGAAAGCCAATAGCCCCCAAGCCTGGAGGTGGCTGATGAGGAAGAGGAGGAACAGCTGGGGTTCAGTGCCTGATGTGTGGTTGCACAGAAGGCCGAGGAGAGGAGAGGAGTGGAAATCTATGGGCCGGTCCTTGGGAAGGAAGAGCCACTGCTGCTAGCGAAGCCCCACCCTACCTCTGGGGATAAAAGTCAGGGGGTGGAGATGAATAGATGTGGCAGACAACTATTCATCTCCCTGCTGGACAGACTTGTTAGTCTGCTGTGTGTGTGTGTGAGAGAGAGAGAGGGAGGGAGGGAGGGAGGGAGGGAGGGAGGGGGGAGGGAGGGAGAGGGAGAGAGACTTTTTGCCGTAGCTGCTGGTGCTCCTAATAAAAGGAACCTTTAGTTAACTACAGAGGGTTTGTTGTGTTTGGGAGCCGAATCAGAACAGATGGTCCAATAGACTGAGGAAGAGGACCAGAGGGATCAGAGGTGATGTTTGCCTGCAGGGACTCTCACTGGAGTGATGGAACTGGAGCTGCTGGTTCTTGGTGCCGTAGACATTCCTGGCAGAGCAGACTATGTAGAGCTGAGAATCAACCTCCCTCTGAACAGTCAGGATGCTGGTGACAATGTAGCCTGTTTTCTGGGAGTACACAAACTCCCGGTCAGTCTCATTGACCGTCACGTTGCGGGTGGGCAACTCAAAGGTGATCATAGCTTCTGGGTTGGCTTTGGCTGCACAGATGCATTTTACTGTATCCCGAGCGGCTGTGCACTTGGAGTCCGGAAGAATACGGGGAGCAACTATGGAGAAAAAATAAAGAGACTGAAGTGCAATTCGGGATGAACTAATAGCAATAGCACTTATATACCGCTTCACAGTGCTTTGCAGCCTTCTCTAAGCATTTTAAAAATGTCAGCATACTGCCCCCAACAATCTGGGTCCTCATTTTGCCAACTTCGGAAGGAATGGAAGGCTGAGTCAGCTGGTTAGGATCGAACTCCTGGCAGTGAGCAGAGTTAGTCTGCAATACTGCGTTCTAACCATTGTGCCACCATGGCTCTAATAGCTTTCTTGGACTGTAGAAGTCCTCTATGGGAGCTCCTCCATTTATGGAAAGCCATACAACAAGGTTGGTCCACACTCTTGAGATGTCTACTTCCAACAAATACATCGGGGGAAAGAGAATAAATGGGGAGAGGCATAGCTCCAGGTCTACAATAACATAGAGGAGGAATTCGCTAGTTCCTTTTCTCCAGCTTTATCCAAATTTACTGCCAACCGTTCCTCAAAACTTTAGGAACAGATCTTTCCCGGAAATGCCAGAGCTCATAGCTGAGCCTTCTGCATTCAAAGCACTTGATCTACCACCCAGTGGTGGGATTCAAATTTTTTTTACTATCGGTTCTGTGGGCATGGCTTGGTAGGCGTGGCTTGGGCATGGCAGAGGAAGGATACTGTAAAATTTCCATTCCCACCCCACTCTAGGGGAAGGTTACTGCAAAATCCCGTTCCGTCCCCCACCCCACTAACCTGCTTTCCAGCTCCATTCTCCTCTGCAGGCAACCAAAGAAGACCCAGCCGATCAGCTGGGACTCAGTGGGAGGCAGAGAAGAGATGGGGGCAGGGCCAGTCAGAGGCGATATTTGCCGGTTCTCTGAACTACTCAAAATTTCCGCTACTGGTTCTCCAGAACTAGTCAGAACCTGCTGAATACCACCTCTACTACCACCACACTCTACCCAATTCCAAAACACACTTGAGATATTTAGAACTAAAAAAAGGGCTCTCGGGGCACAAAGCCAGTGCTTACATTCAACGGTAAGGTTGAAAGCAGTGCTGCTCTGGCCAAACTGGTTCTCTGCTGTGCACCAGTATTCACCGTCATCTTCGTGCGACACGGATTCGAACTCCAGCTCCACCTGGCTTTGGTAGACCCCCATGGCTAATGGCTTCTTGTCCTTGAAGATGGTGACCGTTGGGTCAGGGCTGCTCTGTGAGCTGCAGGAGATAGTGACAGGCTCTCCTTCAACGGCCACCAATGATCTGTTGACGACTGGTTTCCAAGGAGCATCTGCACAGGGAGACGAAGTCAAGAAGAACATGCATTTCATTTTAAGCAAAACATGGTACAAAATGGTCACCCCCAGCTAAGAACAGATTCCTCCTCCCAGAATGGTTCCAATGACATTCTTTCAAAGATTTAGCAATGTTGAAACTTGACTTACATCAAGTTATTCTTTCTTCAAACTTAGCAATAACTAAACAGATACTGCATGGATAGCCAATGGTCTGCGGCTAACGTGTGACCCTCAGATCTTTTTCTCTGGTCTCCAGGAAAAAAGAAATCTGTTTAAATTCTGTTTCTCATGCTTTTGACATCTTGCCACCACTCCCCAAACTGCTGGTATGTTTCCTCTTTGCATTGGGTAGACGGGGCTGAAGTTACATTGGCCTGATCTTTCCTCTTCGCACAAGGTAGACCGGACCGAAGCTTCGCTGGCCTGATCTTTCCTCTCTGCATTGGGTAGACCAGGCCGAAGTGATGCGGGTAGATTGGGACCGCCCCATGGGCCAGATCCAACCATATCGCAGCCCGAATCTGGCCCGTGGGCCTTGAGTTTGACACCCTTGCATTAACACGACTCAAGGCTTCTACACATTTTAAAGGATGTTATAGAAACCTTGGGTAGGAGTAATGGGTTTCAGGTTATCCTCACTGCTAGAGCCGTTGGACACGAGATGGGTGGCAAATAAATTTGATAAATAAATAAAATGAATAGGCTTTATCCCAGAATGGTGAATGCATTCCAGAGCCCCAGATTAGCACTCACACAGCACAGACAAGGCAAGGGAGTGGTTGTCTTTGCCATAGATGTTCTCCGCCACACAAGTGTAGAGGCCATCCTGCAGGTGAGTTACATTGTCGAGGTAGAGTGTGAGGTTCCCAGCCAAGTCCTCATGGAGAATTTCATTTTCTCGGAGCCAGGAAATCATGGCTGTTGGACTGCTGTCCACAATACACATCAAGAACACGTGAGTGCCATGGAGGACTTCCGTGGAGGAGTTGACTTGCAGGATGCGGGGTGGGTCTGCAAAGGAGAGATAAAGAGGTCACCTTTGAGGTGCATATCCAGTTTTCTTTCTGCAGCAGATAAAGGTAGTAAGAAAGGTATCGGCCAGGTATGGTCAAAAAAGTCAGGATGGCAGTCATGTTAGGGCAACCAGGACTTTTGTTGTTGTCTTTTATGGGCATTGCATCCTCATCCTCATCATTATCATCATGACTCTCGTGGTGGCACAATGGTTAGAAAGCACTACTGTAGGCTAACTCTGCACACAGCCTGTAGTTCGATCCTGACCAGCTCAAGGTTGACTCGGTCTTCCATCTTTCTGAGTCGGTAAAATAAGGACCCAGATTGATCGATTTTTTTTTAAAAAAAACCTTTTTTGGATTTTTATTTTTAAATGTACATCAATATCAATACCTGAACAGTGTGGCTTCTGGGTATAATTCATTTTTATACAAGTAGCAATAATAATAATATTAAGAATATTTATTACATTAAACAAATTTATGTAATCCTAATATTCATCTCAGAAATAGCTCTTGTGGTGCAGTGGTGGGAATGCAGCATTGCAGGCTAACTCTGCCCACTGCCAGGAGTTCGATTTTCAAAGGCTCAAGGTTGACTCGACCTTCCATCCTTCCAAGGTGGATAAAATGAGGACCCAGATTGTTGGGGGCAAGATGCTGACTCTGTAAGCCTCTTAGAGAGGGCTGTAAAGCACTGTGAAGCAGTATATAAGTCTAAGTGCTGTTGCTATCTTGACTTTCTTGGTCACATCGCGCTTAGTACTTTTCCCCCTTTGTTCCTATGTGAACAAAAGCAGAGTTGGACCTATTTTATTCCATTAAATGGTGAGATCGCAAGGCTTGATGTCTAATTAAAAAAAAAAAACTTTTCCTTATGTTTGTGTGTAACTTTTCCCTGTCTACCTCAGCTTTTTTGTTAGTTTGTGAACCAAAAGCAGTTTCAGAATTTAAGAGGGAAGATGACAATGGGTGAGAAGCTGTGATTAGCATGCTAGCTCATTTTTCATTTAAACTCATATATTCCCAGTTACTTGTTTTCCCATGGAAGAGAAAGTGACATTGATTAGAGATGAAGGAAGTCTCATGAGAAATGAAATATGCATGTTTGAGGAATGTGACTTGCAAAACAGGTCATCTTTGACAATAAAAAAGGAAAAAGAATACATTAAAATTAAACCGGGAACAAAAAAAATCTGCTTTTCACATGGCTCAGGGGCCAGGAATCCATTAATTACCACATAATTAAGTGCTAAACTGACTGCTAATCCCTTCCACTCAGCAATTTTCTATGACAGAAGCTTGAGCCATCTAATTAAGATGATGGACTTTTAACATTAGAAAATGTTAAATGTTTCTTTTACTATAGTTATTTTATGGAAGGCACAGTTGTGGTCCTGATGTTGGGCATTTCCAGATACTACATGTAGTCCTTGACTTATGATCTCACAATCAAACCCAAATTTCTGTTGCTAAGTGAGTTCTGCCCATTTTATGATCTTTCTTGCCCCAGTTGAATCACTGCAATTATTAAGCTAGTAACATGGCTGTTAAGTAAATCTAATTTCCCCCACTGACTTTACTAGTCAGAAAGTCGCAAAAGGTGATCACATGATCCCAACACACTGCAACCGTCGTAAATACAGGCCAGTTGCCAAACATCCAAATTTTGATCATGTGACCCTGGGGATGCTTGTAAGTGTGAAAAATGGTCATAAGTCATATTTTGGACACCATTTTGACTTTGAACAATGACTAAGCAAATGGTTGTAAGTCGAGGGCTATCTTTATAATAATAAATATAATTGATTAAATGTTGAACCATGGTTTTAATTCTGCTTTTAGATGGTTGCAGAAAAGCAATACCACAGCAGAATGTGTCATAGTAGGGAGGTAATTCAATAGCCCGAGTCCATCAAGTCTTGTTGCAGAAACTGTCAGCCTCCAAGAATCCTTCTTCTGCTTATCTTTCCAGCTGCCATAGAAGGTGGGGGGGGGGGGGAGGAATAATTGGACTTCATGGGGGGAAGAGTGCTGGAGGTTTGAGTTGGTGAAATGTAAATGTTGGGATGTTTTCTTGACTAGGCTTACTTGCTTACTGCACAGATGTAGCCTCTTATCTGTCTAAGCCAAGGTCAACCGTCTTGGCATACCAGATATCTGAAACACCACCTGAAGATACCCCACATGACATTATACACATCTCAGATTGGATGGCCAGTTTGAACTATTGTGGGTGGGAACATGGGATAACTTTGCATATGTGATCTTCGCGCCAATTGCCTCAGATCTTGTATTCTTATGATGCTACCAATTTTCAGTAAAAGCCCTTTTCTCTATAACAAGGGAGTCTAAGGTTTTCTTTCTCGGATTTTGAACAGAGCCTCACCTGACAGAAACCCTCCAGTGTTCTCCAAGATTAAGATGACAGGTGTCCACTTACACGCAATATTAAAAATGTAAAATATAAAAGTTAATATATTTCTATGAAAGTTTTATTGATATACAAGTTAACATATTTATGTTTCAATATAAAAATATATAAAAGCTTCCAATATTTGAGGGGCTCCTACAAAGAAGAGGAGGTCAAACTATTTTGCAGAGCAGCAAAAAGCAAGACAACAAACAATGGTTGGAAACTAACCAAGGAGAGAAGAAATCTAGAACTAAGGAGAAATTTCCTAACAGCAAGAACAATGAACCAGTGGAACCATTTGCCTTCAGAAATTGTGGGTGTTCCATCACTGAAGGCTTTCAAAAAGAGGAAAGAAATGAGATAGGATCAGGGGTGGGCTGCTGGGGGCTTGCAGGGGCTCGAGAAAGCCCCTAGCTAAGACTCTGCGGGGCTCGGAGAGCCCCCAAAAGCCTCAGAAAGAGAAGCAGCAAGGGAAAGCTCTTAATAGGCTTAATTGAACTTCTGGGCATTCAGCCAAGAGCATTTCACACCTCGTAAAAGTGTTGCAAGCTAGATAAACAATCCACTCAGTGCTTGCAAGGGAGAGCCATTGGGAAAATCAGATAACATAGCCATGAGCCTCCAAGGGGATGAATTCCCAAATAATAAGAATCATGTAACTGTCTAGAAACTTCACTAAGACTCCAAGATCCCTCTCACAGTCATTGCTATAAAGCCTGGTTTCACCCAGTCTTTTATTTAAGTATTAAATGCATGAAATAATAAACAACTTTTTAGTATATTATCTTTTTTTAGGTAATTAGGGCAAAGAAGCGATGTCGAGTTGGCCACACCCACCCAGTCATATGCCCACCCAGCCATGCCCACCCAGCCAGCCATTAGGGCAGAGAGCCCCTTGCTGAAAAATTTGAAGCCCACCCCTGGATAGGATCTTGTGCTCACGCAGGGGGGTTGACTAGAAGACCTCCAATATTCCAACTTTATTGTTCTGTTATATATACTACTTATCCAACTCACATTTGACGTCCAGAGTCGAGAAGCCTTCAAACTCAAAAGTGGTGTTGGGGTAGCTGACTTTGCAGCCCACCTCATGTCCGTGGTTCTCACGCAATGGGAGGAACTTCAGGATGGAGATGAGTGACCAAGTGCTACCTTCTTCCTCTATCTGTGCGTAGACGGAATGCTCAGCCAAATTCTCATGGTTCATCCATGTGATGACAGGTTTCATGTCTGGGCAATTGTCGGGCACCTCGCAGCGCAGCTCTGCATCTGAACCCTCCACCACTTCTGGAGGATTCAAAATGGTGGGCTTGTCTACGGAGTAGAAAGAGACAGAGAATATGGAGAAAACGGAAACTCCCCTTTTCCTGTCTTCTCCTTCAATTGAGAGGGTACTAAAGAAGCCGTTGACCGGTTGTGTCCTCCTTTGGGAGAAAGGTAGATGCAGTCTGATGTGACCAGAATGAACCTTACATTTTAGGTTACATTCTTTTAAAATGCCAAAGCCAAATAGTCCTGTGAGCATCTAGTTTGCAGTAGTGGTGAATATCTGTAGCTCGGGTGTAGGATGAGGGTGAAGGTTCGTTCTCCTACTAACCACACGAAGCCCTTATAAACAGAGGAACACAGACAGTGACATCCCTAAACTCCGCTGAAGATGTTACCTAGCCTGGTCACGAAATGTTTGGAAACCAAGCCACAAACTCGGAGAATGAACCTTCACCCCCATCTAGTAAAGCAGGGGCATCAAACACAATTTCCATTGAGGGTCGCATCAGGGTTGTGTTTGAACTTGGGGGAGGGGGCTGGATGGGTGTGGGCAGCCTGAGGTCACCATGATGGCCTCCTGCAGCCCAGTGCCAGCGAGAATGGAGCCTGGAGAGGCCATGTATGGTTCCGTTTTCAGCCCTAATGGCCTCCTGCAGCCCTCTGCCAGCGAAAATGGAGCTTGGGAGGGCTGTGTGCAGCCTGCCCAGGCTCCATTTTAACTACGATGGCCTCCTGCAGCCCTCTGCCAGCAAGAACAGAGCTTGGGTGGGCCTCCCCAGGCAGGCCTCCCTGGCTCCATTTTCACTGGCAGAGGGCTGCAGGAGGCCGTTGTAGTCAAAAATGAAGCCTGGGGGGGGGGCGCACACAGCCCTCCGAAGCTCCATTTTCGCTGGTAGAGGCACCGTAGGCCAGTCCTTTGCTATTTCCATGGCTGCCCCGCAGACCAGATCTAAGCACTCTAAGCCTTGAGTCTGACATCCCTGTAGTAGATTATATATCATAAATAGAAAAATAACTGTAAGCTGCAAGCACATTTCAATAACGAATCAATATTTACTTACCTAAACAAATAAAGGAGGAAGGACTGTAGGAAGGCAAAAACAACAACAACAACAACAACCCAGTGGGAGCGACTTTTGACTTCCTGCCGGCTTCCCCATTGACTTTGCTTATGGGAAGCTAACAGAGAGTGATGAAAATCCCGGGAACACTGCAATGGCCGCAACTTTATGAACAAATCTGATCACCATGAGAATTTCAGCCCCACAGAAGTAATGGGTCCCAGATTTTTTTTATACACATTCTTTAAGTTAGCCAAATTTAAATAGCTGGATTAAAAAAAATAGTTGCAATAAAATTCAAAGTTTGTGCAACATATACATATAGGGTACATATACACAATACAATGAGAGTTTTAGCAGTATTAACAGTATTTAGCAGTAGTAACTACTATTAAATCAAATCCACGTACTAGGAACTGATACTGTAAGTTAGTGGAACTCTGGATATGTAAGAGGTTAGCTTCTTTGGAGAATACTAAAAATAATCCTTTTGAGCTAAGATCGTGCCATCATGGAGAAGAATTTATCAAATCCAGGTCCTGTTACTGTACCTCCTCTGTAAGGAGATAGGGCTCACTGTATAATTCTGGCCAAATACCTAGGCAATTCTGATTTACTTTATCTATGTTTATTCTTACCAAACTAGTGTGAAATCAGATAGCTGTGGAATTGCTTCTGTTTGAGTTTGCAAACTCAAACAAAACAATGCATCATATTTTATATTGTATGTATGCTGAGAGCTTATGCACCGGAGACAAATTCCCTTTTTGTCCAATCACACTTGACTAATAAAGAGTTCTGTTCTGCTCTGCCCTTCTCTGCCCTGCCCTGCCCTACCCTACCCTACCCTACCCTACCCTACTCTACGGAAGCCTCCTACATCCCTTAATTGTTGCTGATTCCCATACTATTTGAAAGGGCTCACCAGCTTAGACCCGACTCTTCATAAGCAAGAGTTGGAATTGGTATTTCCCACCACCATTTGCCTGATACTCACTGATGACCTCAAGGTTAGTGTGCTCTGGATAGGTGTATTGATTGTAGCCACCGAGGTCTCCCCGAAAGTAATACTTCCCTGAGAGCTCAGGGCTGAGACGGGAGATCTGGAGGGTGCAGTTGCGGAAATTCAGCTCTCCCAGCAGTCTACTGCGTCCAACGTAGCTCTCGTGGATAATGTTGGTGCGGGATTTGTAAACCACTGGCGGATAATTCTTGGGGTATGGGCTGTTGAAGTACCAGATGCCATGGATGGTTGGTGGACGCAGCTCTTCTGGGTAGCTGAAGCGACAGGGGATAACCACACAGGTGCCCTCAAACGCAGTGATGTGTTCGGGCATCCAGGCGCTCCACGGTCCAGCCAAGACCCCTTTGGAAGGAGGCAGAAGAGAATCACAATGAGAGAAACATAGGGTTGCTGATTGACTGCCTGCTCCATGGCTGATCTTGAGTTTTCTCATTATCTGCTGTGACCAGGGATGGGCTTCAAAAATTTTAGCAATGGGTTCTATGCCCAGTTGCTGAGTGGGCGTGGCCATGGTGGGTGTGGCCTAGTCAGCCTCCTGCACCACAGTGTGTGTGGGGGGGTGCGTTTTTGCACTCCCCGGGCTCCGGAGGCTTTCCTGAAGCCTCCGGGAGGGTGAAAATGGCCTCCCCGGGCTCCGGAGGCTCTCTGGAAGCTGGAAATGGGCCCATTTCTGGCCTTCCCGAACTTCCGGGAGGCCCATTATTCACCCTTCCTGAGGCTCTGCACACGACCTCCACTTACCTGCATCCAAAACAGGCCGCATGGGGACTTCTGGGAGGGGCAGGGTGGGCGGGGCCAGCCAGAAGTGGGATTTGGGGTGGTTCTCTGAACTGCACAGAATCTTAGCTAGGGCTCTCCCAAATCCCTGAGAACCCCCATATTGGGTATGATGAATAGATAGTCTTGAGGTCCCTTTCAGGTCCCTCCCTCGGAGATGTGTTACCTGTGGCTCACCTGTCTTTGAATCAGCAGGAAAGGCCATGGAGATCATTTATCTCCATGGCTGAAAGCATCTCAGCAGTGAGACTTGAATAGTGTTGCTAGCTCTACAGATTTAATGGGAGACAGTTTCAGGGTGGAGACTGGGGAATTCATGATTTCCTTCCCCTGAGACTGCCATCACTTACTGGAAGGAAAAAACGGTTGCCACCAATTGTTGTCCATAATGAACAACCAGGCAGGGTTGGGGGACTCTTAAGTCATCCACATATTTTCTTTGGGGGAGGGGAGAATACCCTATTTATGCCAAACCACATACTTCCTCCACCAGATCTCTCCGATGATCCAAACCCATGCCTCCCTGCCTTGCTCTTTGTATTCCTGTTCCTTCCACTACTGAAAAAAAGCACTAAAGGGAATAACAAAGGTGTTATCTACTCTATAGCAGTGTGAATTTTTCAGCCTTAGCAAGTTTCAAGATGTATGGATTTCAACTTCTAGAATTCTGGGAGTTGACTTCCACACATCTTAAAGTTGACAAGCTTGATAACTAACTCTTAATAGTTAATTCAGTGAAAAATAGGAGCCCCAAGATGCACATCGTACCGTCGTGACGTCAGCCCCTCCCTCCCCACTTCTTGGGTTTTTGATGGGTCATCGCCATGTAATTTGGGAGGATGTTACCAAGACAGAACTCTCTTTTTTTTGGTCCAAAAGTACCTTCAGATAGGACCCAGAAGGCCAGCAACGTCTTGCAGAAGAATTTCATGTTGTTTATTTTTGAAGAAATGTGTAGGTCAACCTAGAGGAAAGAAGGAGAAGTAGGATGACATTGATAGTAAGAGGACAATTGTTTGGTGTAATAGAACATTCCCTGGAGCAGTGTTGCCCAAACTTAGCAACTTTAAGTTGTGTGTATGTCAATTCTGAAAATTTGGGGAATTGAAGTCCACACATCTTAAGATTGTCAAGATTGAGAATCCTTGCCTTACTGATCCCTTCCATTGTGATTTCTCTTCCATAGAGAGACCTCCTACAAAAGAAAATTGCTAGCTAGACCTCAGGCATGTACAGCATCAGACCATCAGTAAGGAGAAACTGGATTTGTGCCAGTACAGCAGAAGTTGTTTCCTGTTTGCATTCCATAACTAGGTCAGTTACAGCTAATATGCAGATCGTATGCATTCGCTGTGCATTCATGCAAAGACCATATTCAGGCAACTAAAGGGTTTAAACAGTGTTTTTCAACCTTAGTTATTTTGTGTTGATTTCATTTCTCTGAATATCCACCCATTTTCAAATGACCAAGATTGAGGTTTAAGGCTACTGAATGCAACCTGAACCTGAGGATGCTCAGAAGGAAAATTGGTTCATCCATGTGTTGATGTTTTATACAATCTTGGTGAGAATTCATACACAAACCTCCTCCTGCATACATGTTCAGTGCTGGAAGTTGAACAGGGGCTGTCGTAATCACACTGTATTCATACATTGCCTAAGCTGTAATTTATTTATTTTTATTTATTTATTTATTTGATTTGCCAATTGTTTACAAGATAATAAGTATAAGTGTATACATGGTTGTGAATACATGAAATGGGTACATATAAGAAAAAATAAAAGAATAAGAGAAACAATAGGACAGGGACGGTAGGCACGTTGGTGCGCTTATGCACGCCCCCTACAGGCCTCTTAGGAAAGGGGTGAGGTCAATAGTAGACAGTCTAAGGTTAAAGTTTTTGGGGTTTGGGGAAGAAACCACAGAGTCAGGTAGAGTATTCCAGACATTGACCACTCTATTGCTGAAGTCGTATTTCCTGCAATCAAGTTTGGTGCGGTTAACCTTGAGTTTGTATCTATTGTGTGCTCTTGTGTTGTTATGGTTGAAGCTGAAGTATTCATTGACAGGTAGGACATTGCAATGTATGATTTTATATACCATGCTTAAGTCAGACCGAAGACGGCGTAATTCAAGGTTTTCAAGTTCTAGAATTTCAAGTCTGGTGGCATAAGGTATTCTACAACGAGTAGAGGAGTGGAGAACTCTTCTTGTGAAATATTTCTGGACTTTCTCAATTGTGCTAATATCAGATACGTAGTGTGGGTTCCAGACTGATGAACTGTATTCGAGTATTGGTCTAGCAAATGTTTTGTATGCTCTGGTTAGTAGTGTGATATTACCAGAGAAAAAGCTACGTAGGATTAGGTTAACAACTCTTAATGCCTTTTTGGCTATGTAGTTGCAGTGGGCTATAGCAATTAGATCATTAGAGGTGAGTATTCCAAGGTCCTTTACAGAGCTTGAGTCATCAACAAGATCTTGACTATTCAGCTTGTATTTTATTTTCTGATTTTTTTTGCCAATATGTAAGACAGAGCATTTATTTGTTGAGATTTGAAGTTGCCATTTGTTTGACCACTCTGATACATAGTCAAGATCTTTTTGTAGGGTAGCAGTATTGTCTGTGGTATTGAACAGCTTTACATCATCAGCGAAGAGAACGCAATTGCTCTTAATATGATCACAGAGGTCGTTTATGTAGAGTATGAAGAGAGTTGGTCCTAGAACACTGCCCTGGGGGACACCACTATTGACAGGTACTGGATTTGATAGTACGCTCCCGATTTTGACCATTTGTTGTCTGTTTGACAGGAATGCTTCTATCCAGTTATTCAGTTGTCCAGAGATACCATAGGATTTTATTTTTAGGAGTAGTTTGTCGTGTACCACTGAATCAAAGGCTTTACAGAAGTCTATGTAGATTGCGTCTATTGCTTTGCCCTGGTCGAGTTGTGTCGTCCATATGTTTTTGCAGTGTAAGAGTTGCAGATTACAGGATAGTTTTTTTCTGAAACCAAATTGTTTATTGGAGAGTAGGTTATTTGTCTCTAAGTGAAGGATGATGGATTGGTTAATAATTGATTCCATGACTTTACAGGTGACGCAGCATAAGGAGATTGGCCTGTAATTTTCAACTAGGCTTGGGTCTCCCTTTTTGAAGATGGGGATGACTGTGGCTTGTGACCATAGGTTAGGCAAGGAGCTGGTTCTGAAAGATTTTTCAAAGATTATGCTTAGAGGTTTGGCTATGGCAGTGGATAGCTTTCTTAAGAAGTAGGCACATATTCCATCCGGTCCAATAGATAGAGATGGTTTTAGGTTGCGTAGTGCTTTTTCAACATTGTCTTCTGTGAAATCGATATGTATTAGATCATTGTTGTTATCTGTGGTACGGCTATATTATCTTGTGTAAAGCCAGCCTACTTGTAGCTTATGCAGAGAACTGTGGTTAAAGAAATACTGGCTCTTGGTGTGATGGGTGAACCCTATCATAGAGAAATGAACAATGTTATCCAAGGTATTTTTGTTGGATGTTTATCCTGTACAGTAATATCGATTTCTTTTTAAGTTTTGCAAAGCCAACTTGGGAGAGATGTTCTCCTGGAAGTTGGAATGTACTGTAATGCTTATATAACAATATTTTTTCTTTAAAAGAAAAATCAAGACATTGTTTTACTTTGTTCGCTCTATTGTGCCACCAGAGGGAAGCAGTACTTCATATATTCTCCATTGCCTGATCGTGCTCTTAGGGCAAGTGTGCAGAGAACTGTGGCAGCTTTGAAATCTGATTTCCATCCTTCAGCCCAACTGTTGGAAGACTCTTTGTGCATCAAGGAGAAATGTTTTCCAGTATGAAAGTAAAAATATTTAAAAAGTCCTGTTTGGGGTGGGGTAGGGAAGAGAAACTGGCTGGGCTCCAGTTTTGCTAACCCATCTGACATACACTCCTAGTGCAACAGCAACCTAAGAATTGATAATCCCAGACTATTGGTCATGGATCCTGGACTGTTGCTAGCAATGCAAGGTAATCCAGATTACCTTGCAAGGTAATCCAGAAGCACAACCAGGAGTACCAACTCTGTCTTTACTATAAGGTTACATTAACAAAATCTTGGAAGACTGAAAGTTTTTTCCCTTCTTTCCTATTACTCTCTGGAAAACTGGGGAGGAGCCCTTCTGAAATGAATAACAGTAACAGACTTAGAAGGGACCTTGGAGGTCTTCTAGTCCAACCCCTAGCTCAAGCAAGAGACCCTATACCAGTGGTGGGATTCAATTTTTTTAATACCGGTTCTGCAGGCGTGGCTTGGCTTGGTGGGCATGACTTGGTGGGTGTGGTAGGGGAAGGATACTGTAAACTCTCCATTCCCTCCCACCCCACTAACCTGCTTTCCAGCTCTGTTTTCCTGTGCAGGGCAACAAAAGGAGACCCAGCCAATCAGCTGGGACTCAATGGGTGGCAGAGAATAGATGGGGGTGGGGCCAGTCAGAGGTGGGATTTGCCGGTTCTCCAAACTACTCAAAATTTCCGCTACCGGTTTTCCAGAACTGGTCAGAACCTGCTGAATACCAACTCTGGTATTGACCATCTCAGGGGTTCTCCATCCTTGGCAACTTTAAGACTTGCGGACTTCAACTCCCAGAATTCCTGAGCTAACATGACTGGAGGAGGAATTCTGCCCTATACCATTTCAGACAAGTGGCTGTCCAGTCTCTTCTTTAAAAACTTCCAGTGATGAAGCACCCACAACTTCCAAAGACAAGCCGATCCACTGGTTGATTGTCCTCACTGTTAGGAGGTTTCTTCTTAATTCCAAAGGTTGCTTCTCTCCTTGATTAGTTTCCATCCATTGTTTCTTGTCCTGCCTTCCGGTGCTTTGGAAAATAAGTTGACTGCCTCTTATTTGTGGCAGCCTCTCAAATACTGGAACACTGCTATCATGTCACCCCTAGTCCTTCTTTTCAATGCTTCACACATGCCCTTCCTCTTTCTGGAGGCTGAGGTTACCTCTTGAATGGTTTTACAAACTGTGGTTCTCCCTCCTGCCTCCCAAAAAAATTCCCACGTATCATTACAATCCTTGGGAGAAGATTGGCAAACCGCCATATTTCTCTTCCCTCGACTGGCTGATGGAAATTTGCACACCACCCAAGCAGAGGCTGAAATTTCAGGAATATCTTGAATTTGAACACACAGTTCCCGGGGAGGGATCACACCTTGTATTAAACCCCATTTTGCTTATTGAACAGAAATGCGCTGCTTTGGCCCAGCGAGTTACAACGCTCAATCGTTGGGATTCACCAGTCAGACAAACAAGGCCTGGGAGGTAATGATAGGAGCTGAGCTGGAGTTGCCCAGGGAAAGAAGGCTGAGAATATCAGCAATGAACTGTCACTAAGTTGAGAAGTACCGGGATGCCGGTGGGGGAGAGATTAAAAAAAAAGTCAAGAACAGAATAACAGAGTTGGAAGGGACCCTGAAGGTCGTCTAGTCCAACCCCTTGCTCAAGCAGGAGACCCTACACCATTCCAGGCAGAGTGGCCGCCCAGCCTCTTTTTAAAAGCCTCCAGTGATGGAGCATCTACAATTTCTGGAAGCAAGACGTTCCACGGGTTAGTTTTCTCACTGTTAGGAAATGTCTCTTTAGTTCTAGGTTGCTTCTCTCCTGGATTAGTTTCCATCCATTGTTTCTTGTCTTACCTTCTTTGGGGCTTTGGAAAAATAGGTTGATGCCCTCTTTTGTGTAGGGCAGCCCCTCCAATATTGGCTCACTGCTGCTGTCACGTCATCCCTAGTCCTTCTTTTCACATTCAAAGATGTTGATGGGAGCTACACTACATCTTTGTGCTCAAAGCGCAACGCCTTTCATGGTACACATCATTAAAAAGGAAGGAGATCTGAGCACAGGGTTGTGGCCTCCAAATAGACATTTTTGGCCCCTCTCCAGCAGAGTATAAAG